ACACACCTATTAATAATGTTTGAAAACGTTCTAATTTTCAGTAAATTTTTTGCATTCCCATGTTCATGTTACAAATTTGAGTTGGTTTTGTATTTGAGACAAAAATCATTATAGGTTAAATTACCGCATGTGACCAGATTTATATTAATTTATTGCTAATTAAGAATAAAGCCTTTAATTTCAACTCTCGATATTTAAAGATTGCAAAATATAGGTCAGTTTAACTCGCACTTTAACTATCCAGCTACCAGCACGAATCTTGAGTGTAAAACTATCTTCGCTTGACAGTTTTCTTGGAACGCCCGAAATGTTTAAAATCTGAATCAACAAAACTGACTGCTTTGCTTTTTGTAGACTTCAAATAAAAATTATGACGAAAGAATTTTGTTTTTTATATTTTCCAAACTGTCGACTACCAAATCCCAAAGTTTAAAAATAACAATTGACTGTAACAACACATCGGAATTTTTAATTCTAATTACGTAGAAACAATCAATAATGGTATTTATGTATACATGAAAACATTCATCCATATCCAATAAATTAGACATTTAGAAGAAAATTGTGATTAAAAAAAAACATTTAGTATTCCCGCGAAAAAGCACCCTATAAAATAATTAGACGTTGTTTGTATTTTCGTTGTAGTTGTCTTGTCTTATTTGACTTTTGTGGAAGTTTTTTGAATCTGCTTTCACAAATCTAGGATTTATGCTCAATACTTACAAAAGATTCAAAAATTTCAAACTGAAATATATACGGCGTCCCTTTAGTGCGTATTTGCTAGATAAATCAACGTGTGTTACAGGTACACAAACAAGTTTCAAATAAGAATTATTTGGATTTTAAAAAGGCATATTTTAAAAATATTTTTGGATATACAGGATGTTACATTTTTTTCTGACTAATAAAAATGTATATTTTTTAAATGGAACACTCTGTATTTTATTCAATTTTAGAATGGTCTAGTAATACTGTATTCGATGCTGAAATATTTTTGAAAAATATTACAGGTTTGCCAAGCGATTAATTATTTTGTGAAATTTCAGAATGATGCAGAACCCAAATTAAATTATCATAATTTAGGTAGGTTAGCAAGGATTTCAAAATTGTCTTAAATATAGACTTGTAACAAATCAAGCTAACGAATATTGGTAATAGAACTGGTTTATTTTATACAGAGTGTCTTGAAACATGTCTTAAATATGGCTAATTTTAAGTTCAATTTACTCAATTTTTTTGAATGGAACACCCTGTATATTATTTTAGAACAAATTTCCTTATACAGTTACCTATCCAACCATAGCAACAGATTAGCCAATTATACATGTACAGGATATCCCGTCAGTGCGTATATGATCGATAACGGTTTTATTATTGGAGATACGAAGTCACAATTGAAGACACAAGTGGATGAAGGGCCTATGTAGCAAAATAATTTTTACGAGATATTTCTGTTAAAGTTTATTGTTTGGCAGTTATTCCCTAGTATATGGGTCCTTTATCCACTGGCAACTTCTATATTTGATGATATATTGTCACGGAATACATTTTAAACGAATTTTAGGTACATAGGCCCTTTATTCACAGAAAAACAGCATTTAAAAAAAAATGTTACATAGATCCTTCATTCACTTGTGTCTTCAATTATTCTTAAATATACAGGGTAGTTCATAAATGAGGGGCGGACCAAACTCATACTTTTTTAGATTAAACAATCTGGATAAGAGATTTGGTTGGTTTCACATTGATAAACAATTTTAATAGACTCAAAATTCCTAAAATATTTTCTGTTTTCTTTCATTTATTATTATTTATACGGAGTGTGTAAATTTTTGTTAACCCATTTGCCAAAACGGTTTTCTGTTCTCTTGATCTCACAAACGTGTGTTTCGGTATAAGGAATGGAAATAAATAAATTAATTAGTGGCATAACATACAGGGCCATTTAAAAATTGAGAAAATCGTAACTTTGAATTTTGACACACATTGCTTGGCAAACCTGTAATATTTTTTAAAAACCATACAGGGCATTCTATTTAAAAAAATATACATTAGTATTTTCCAGGCATAAACGTAACACCCTCTATATTCTAAAATATTTTTTAAATATATCTTTTTCAAATCCATATAATTTTTATTTGAAACTTGTTTGCGGGTCTATAATATGAATTGAAATATCGAGCAATTACGAACTAATATGAAGTTTCTATCACTTGGTTTTTTAGGGAATATAATGATGTAAATATTTTAAATCTGTGGGGTACCGCCTAAATGTAACCAATTTTACTGCAGGTAAATAAATATACGGGCCAGAGTTGGGTCGGATACAGGAAAAAAGTATCCGTGTATCAGATACGGACACTCATAATGTATCCGAATACTTTTTAAAAAAGTACTCGATTACAAGTATCCGGATACTTTTTTTGAATACTTAATAATAATAAACAACGGGGTGGGTGGCTCAGTGGTGTCTCTGCCTGTGGATCCAAGGGTCCCAGGTTCGAATCCCACCGTTGGCCGGAATTTTTTCATTTAATTTAATTATTTAAAATTAATTCTGATGCCTTGGTAGTCTTCCCCACTCGACCATTCACTGTTGGGTTCTAATTAACAGTGCTGTTCCTAAAGTGGCACTGGGAAACAGTAACAAAGCCTACACAGAACACGAGGCGAAATAACCTTAGCAGTTGAAGCCGAAGACACACAAAAAAATAATAATAATAATAATAAATGACTTTATTGCTCTCATAAATATAAATTAACAATAATGTAATTACACAAAAAAATATGTATTAAATACCTGAAAGCAAGAAGCGGCGTTCGCACTCAAACATTATCCCGATAGGAAATAATGATTGAGCAGCGCTCTTCCACGCAACCTTCAGAGGATACTTTTAGTGAGTCAAAATAATATATTTACGCCAATAGTCATAATTTATTAATACAATGTAATTGAATACGAGTAATAATAATAGGCATGTATGTAGAGTGCTGGCAAGATCAAACATGTCATAGTTTGTTGTGTTGAAATGATAAGTGGCGCACGCACATGCAAGAGAACAAACGACACAGTATTGTCATTCACAGTGAAGTTACGGTGACCTGCTATCGACAGGTAACTGGCAACTTCGATACCACATCCTTTCATCTGCACATGCGAACACCATTTACTATTCACTTCAACACAAGCAAAGCGGTACCGAGGGTTTGATCTTGCCAGCACTGTATATCGAAAATATAAACAGAAAACAAACACTGTTCAAAAAACATCTGTCTGTATATGAGATAGAAAATTCCACAAGTTCGTAGTCCCAGCAGTAGAAAAGATTTTGTAGGTTTTTTCCTGTAAAAACTTGCTAGTGAGCCTTTGATGCTGAATCCCAATCTTCTGTATACTGGGTAAATCATCGAATTCGTCCTTAGCGATTTAGATCACAGCAATGTTTTCGTTAAAAAAAAATGCATAAAAATACGACCACTTAGGAAAGTGACACATATCACACTATATAGTCCTATGGAAAGTGCCCTATATCACACGCGTATGAATAAGAATTTACTTTCCACCCGTGTGCGAATATGCTACTTTCCGAATCAGCTGTCACAAATTGTCAATCGCATCATTTCTATTTTGATCTATGTAATGTCCATATTAATACTAAAATCGATATGATTGTCAAATTATTGAAATTAGATCCTAGATATTTATCTTTAACAATTATTATTAAAATAATTTTAAAATAACTAAGTTATGTATCAAACTTTATCAAATTTGCCATTTAAGACCTGGCGAGCGACCGCGTTCAAATCCTTGCGGGGGCAGAATTTTTTTTGTTTTTCTTATTTTTTTTTGTTTTTTAGTTTTTTTTTGTTGATTATTTTTTTAAATACATTTTAATTATTACGGGGTGGGTGGCTCAGTGGTAGAGTCTCTGCCTGCGGATCCAAGGGTCCCAGGTTCGAATCCCACCGTTGGCCGGGATTTTTTCATTTAATTTAATTATTTAAAATTAATTCTGATGCCTTGGTAGGATTCCCCACTCGACCATTCACTGTTGGGTACTAATTAACAGTGCTGTTCCTAAAGTGGCGCTGGGAAACAGTAACAAATCCTACACAGAACACAAGGCTAATAACTGTAGCAGTTGATGCCGATGACACAAAAAAAAATTACCTGGTTTTACATTTTTTGATGAAATTATTTTGTGGTCGTAGGAAAAATATTATACATCACTTGTGTAAAAAGTGATTTTCCACACTCGTGTGATAGTCGCACTAGGCTTTTGTCTTAATTAAAATAAAGAACAGTCTCCTAATTATTTTTCTGATGCACTCTTCCTACAATACACAGTGATGGGGTATTATTAAGCAAATAAAAGTAGACTTTTGGAAAAAAATTACATTTTGTGAAATTATAAGTACACGTCACAAGCCATAGGGAATATAAAATTTTCAACTTTAATAATTATTTATTCGGCCTCCAGTGATATCTGAACGCCAAAATTTTGCTTAAGTCCATTTTTATTTTTATTGATAAACTTTTTATCTAATTTTGTCGATTAAAACTAAATACGAGTAGTTGATATTAAGTACTTAATCTAAATGAACTAAAAATAATGATTTTTTTTTATGTTATTTAATTAGAAACTACGTCTTCGTAATTTCGGTGAACCTCGGCTAATATCTGTTTAATTTTTTGTTTAATTTCATATAATTTCGAAAGAAAAGTTAAAGCTCTTTGAAGAGTTAAAAAATGCAACTTAAAATATATGTGACTCACTGAAAATATTGAAAACACTTTTTGGGATCGACCATGTAAAAATTTATCTGAGCTCATTTATTTATTTAGTATTTACATTATACCGATTTTTTTAATGTTTATTAAAATTATTTTATTGCAAGGAAAAAATTAATAAATCATATTTTTCCCGCTTTTCACAAACCATTCAACAAATTATTGGAAATTATTAATTTAACATAAAAAAATACATTCATTTTCCTACCTTTTCCAACAAACCGGGAAGAATATTACATAAAATAAAAATGACTCTTAAAAATCCAATTTTCATCGACGTATCCAAAAAATTAAATTTGTTTTTTCTCGTAGCACAATCATTAAGAAACTGAACGGACCAGACTTACTGAATTAAGATTGTGTTTCGACTATTTTTAAATTTCTTTGAAAGTATCTATGAATACTCAAGATTCGCGGATACCATCGGGATTTATTGTTAATAAGGTTTGTCAAGGTTACAATATTTGGGTCACTTTTGGGTTTTTATGTTTATTTACTTCCTCCCAAATTGCTACCTTATGTCTTTAAATAAAATTGTTGTATAAATAGAATGCAAACTATTGAAAGTAAGTGGCCACCGTCCATTCCTCCAAATAATATATTTAGTGTGATAATACTCTCCCTAATTCACCTCCTTACGAGTCAATTTCAACCCCTAAAACCGACTAAGTTTGTGCGGGGAAGGGACGCCTAGTATTAATATTTTTTGCTGTGGCGAACTTAAAGATGATTGATGATGCCATTTGACTGAGAAACCATCATATACCATTATATTACTACTGCCATTATACCATACCATATACCATTATATTACTATTGTTTTAGCACTTTAAGGGGTCTATTCTGTAAAAATTCCTTTATATTTAACGGCCTTTAAAAATATTGGCGGCCTTTAAAAGTATATTTGTATTCGTTAATTTACTTCTGTCATTATTTAAACAGATTTCTTTAAGATAGTACTTTAATGTATTTTAAAGATCCGTTTAAATAATGACAGAAGTAAAGAAGAAAATATTTTTAAAGACCGTTAAATATAAAGGAATTGTTACAGAATAGACCCCTAAATGCCTTTTTTTTACTAAAAAAAATCGAAATAGGTAAATTACTTTACACATTGAAAAATAAGATGCAATACTAAACATCAAAACTTAATTCATACTAAAATATAACTCTACAGTATTAAATATTTAAATTAATAAAATTGTTACAGTTTGAAATATGTATTTCTTTATTAGGAAACATTTCGTGGTTATCGAAATATTACCTACCAACAATCAACACTGAAGGTGACAAAAGGCGAAAAGGCTAAGCTAAATTTCATTAAAACCACTAAACAAGGTTTTTTTTTTAATTTTTCCCTTAGTAGAGTAATTAATTTTCTTTAAATAAAATGACCTGTATAAGAATCTGTATCTGGTCATTTAAGCTACCTAACTTTTAATTTGAAATGCCACGGGTAGAAATTTATTGGTAATCAATTATATTTTGCAAATCATTGACATTTTTGCGTCTGTTATAGTCTAGAGAAGAAAGAAGTGCAGTAATTTAATTTGCAGTACGTAGTACAGGTTCAAGAAATAATCATTTTATTTATATCTCATCCTTCAATGCTTATTTGTAGTTAATATGAAAATTTTAATACAGCTGATCCGCCTAATTAAAGTTTTCGTTTAGCTTTAATCATGTTTCCATGGTTTTTATTGTAATAAACCTTTTCGTTTGACAGATAAGTCAGACTTTATTTATTCATAGCCGTATCGTATGTATTTTAATTTATTCTGAATTTTGTATTAGTATATATTATAATTTTATAGTTATATAAGAATGGCGAGTGCATTAGAAAATATTGCAAGCTCAAGTACGCATATTCGACCTAGTGGACATAAAGCATTATCTTTAGAAGAAAAAAATAGCGTACTTAATCTATTTAATAATCTTTGAAAAGACTTTGTTTCATTTCCTCTGGATGAAATAACCACTAAATGTGAGATCTATATTGGAGTATCTAGAAGATATCGTTATTGGAGAAGTCTCAATCCGAAAAAGCCCCCAGGAAGAAACCAAACCAATATTGAAACTTGCGTAAAGAATGTAATAATTATTTGTTCTTTCGAAATTTAATTCCTACACAAACCGTAGACACGTGTTTCTGACTATTGGTCTTCATCAGTACGGTGTAGCCAAGTTCAAAAGAGAATGGTACTAGCGATGAAATCAAATCAACAGGAGATCACTCAAGAAGCCAACCACACATTTGTGGACTTTGCTAACATTCCCAGTGCTTACTAGGAAAATATGAAGATGCATCCAAGCCCAGGGAAACTAAACAATAGAAGAAGGTTTATTGCACTTGGAATAAGCATATTTATCGTAGGACCATATGTTTATTATAAACGGGGTGATCAATGAAGTCATGCAAAAAATCAAAGTTTGTATGAGTGAAATTTCTCCAAAAAAATTTTCTGGTCGTTGCAATATGGTTCGTTACTATGTTAAAAGCAATATCTCTAGACGTTTTTGTCAGTTTTTGGATTAAGGCCCTTAGTTCTTCTACACACTACTAAACATAAAATTTGGGTAACAAAATTTTTAAAATGCTATAATTTGACATTAAATTGACGGTTCTTGATGATTTACGATATACGGTATAATATATTGTAAATTTTGTAAAGCTCCTGCGCATCTATTTGTAATGAGAACACCGAGGTACATGTAACTGTCTGTTTCGTCTATTGTTATTTTTCCTGGTTTTAGTTTGTAATTCTAGTTTTCCAGGATTTTATCTTAAATGTTTGTTTTTCAGTTGCATGTACTGACTCTTTTTTTCATTTATTTTTAGCCCCATTGCCGCGTCTAATAACTGTTCTGTTATGTTTTTAAGTTCTTTTTGGCTTCTCGCTAACAGTACAACATCATCTGCGTATGCTAATGCTTGGTGGGATCTGTTGATCAGGGTTCCATATCTGTTTATTTCACTGTTTCTGATGACTATTTCAAGGGTTAAGTTAAAAAGAATGGTGGATAATGGGTCTCCCTGCCTAAGCCCGTTTTGGACTTCAAATTCTTCGGTTTCCTCACCTCCTACTCTTATTGCACACCTTGTATTTTCCAGGGTCTTGTTCGTCAGTTTTACAAGTTTAAAAGGTATTTTTTTTTTCACTATTTATGTTTTTAACACGGATTAAAGTAAACCGAAATAAAAGTTTACAAACGCAGTTTATATCAGTCACTTGGCTATATGAATGTTAACTTTGTATTTGCGAACTTTCCCACTAATTTTTGCGTTTTAACGGGAGCAACTGAATTAAACACTCTTTCACGTTTATTATTAGACGCTTTATATAAAATACTACACTAATATTGTGAATTTTAATAATAAATTGTCCTTTTTTTTTTTAATATACAGTATCGGCTATCGAACGATTTCCAATACGCTTTACACAAGTGCATGTGAAAACTACAGAGAGTTAGCATTGGGGCGAACAGGAAACAAATAATATAAGCGATGCCAGTTTATACGGCCCGGCCAAAAGCGCTCTGTTCAATATAACTTTGAAGTTATTAACATTTTAAATTTTTTATGAATTTATCTGTTTTAAATTTTCAAAATAGCTTGCTTTTTATTTTCCAGTAATTATTAAGTATTCTCTTCTTGTATTTTAGATTGGATGTGATGGTTTAAATTCTCGAGTGAGAGAAGCCATGGGTGTTCAATATTTGAACTGGAACTATAATAATGTGGGTATTGTTGCAACTCTTAAGTTCTCTGAAGTAAGTATTAAAATTTAAATGTTAATATTATATTGAGTGATCCACAAAAATGTTTATATTTTTAAGTATCTATCAGTTTGGATTTAATTAAGTTATCACGGATATGACACGTACCTGTATCTTATTCGGTCATTACCTACTTTAGATTTTTTTGTGGACCACACTTTATATTATTGTTTCATTAATGAATACATATCCGAAAATGTTAAAAACTTACAGTTCCAGTCTTTAGTGCTGTTTTTATGAATATCAGATTTTTCGACAATTCCTACCAAGGATTCAACATAATAATTTAAACACATCACTATAGATCTGTAAGAGTCTCTTCAGGAATTTCGTTTTAACCCTTTTAATTCATTTGGTTCACATTTTCACTTTTTAACAAATGTGTCAAAAGAATAGGACACTTTTTATAAAACACGTCGATTTTTAATTAATCGTGTTTTAGGTAAAAAAATGGTCAATGCTTTTATTTACGATCAATATTTTTAACGGATTATTTTTGTTATAACATGATTAAATAATAGCTATTTATGAAACAAGATACGAAATGCCTTATTTTCTGTAACGGGGCGAGCAGAAAGAGTTACATAAAATGGCATTTCGTAACGTGCTGTGTTTTGGTAAAAAATAACTGGTATCTACGCAACCAATATTACCACTTCTTGTATTGTTAGTTGCATATGATACTTCATTCTTTTATTGTCAAATAAAAAATGTTATATTTATTTATTTTTAACGACTTATTGTGGTATATTATTGTTAAAGTTATTTAGATTTCAAGAAAGTGTTATTTTGTCGTGTATTGTGTTTTAATTATTTTATGCTGATTTAGAATGGAAAATAAGGACCAAAACAACATTATTACTAGGTTGTAAATTTATCAAAATTTTATTTTTATAAGTCAACCTGCCCTTCTTTAATATAAACTTTCAATAATAATGTATATTATTTTGATTTTAAAACAAAGAAGGCTTATTTTTTTTCGCAACTGGAGACATAATTACTTTTTCGAAACCAATTTCATAATGTTCAACATTATGCAACTGGTTGCATAAAGTAGATCATTTTGACACTTGCCGCGATTACATAAAATGAGAGTAGTAGAGGATAGTGAGTGCAGATTCTGTGAGGAGGAGGAGGACGAAACCTCCATTCACATCCTAACTGAATGTGTAGCACTCTAGAATCCAAGGGCACTATATCTAGGAGGATTTCAAATAGAAGAGGGAGATTTACCTAACTTGAAGCCACTTCAAATCCTACACTTCCTTGAGAAAATAGGATTGAAAGGGTCGCTATAGGCATTGAGACATTTCTTTGGTGCAGTGGCGATAGAAGGGGGCACAATAGATCTTTTAGGTCGCAGTGTATTAACACCCCATTCTCAACATAACATACATAAAATGTCACATTATATATCAAAATTACAAAAAAAAATATTTATAAAGTAGAGGCCAAGACCAACAAAGAAGAGAAATGCGAGTCATACCCGTGATATATACACACAACTCTGAATGAAATCCAAATTCATTTAAAAAAAGACTTGTAATCTCGGACATGTCTAATTTTTTCTTGGCCTATTTACAAATATTTTTTTTTATCTCATTATTATTGATGGTTATTTTCCCTTCTTTGATATAAACTTTCAATAATAATGCATATTATTGATTTTAAAACCAAAAAGGCTTATTTTTTTCGCAACTGGAGACATAATGACTTTTTCGAAACCAGTTTCATAATGTTCAACATTATGCAACTGGTTTATATGTCCAATTTTTTTCTTGACCTACTTTACATACATTTTTTTTATCTCATTATTATTGATGGTTATTTAAAATTATATATATATATTTTTTAGGAAATTAACAACTGTATTGCTTGGCAACGATTTTTACCTACAGGTCCCTTAGCTTTATTACCTGTAAGTATACAACATGTGCTATTATGTGAATTGAAATAGATAATATTAAACAAAAACATTATTATGAAAGAGATGAATTGAAAATATTGACTCGAAAAATTTGTCAGTTTTACTGCCGAAACTATGAAAGTTAAAGAGTTCATGAATAAATTCCAGAAACTTTAGTTTTTTATCACCCCCGGAATTTATCTCTGTTGTTTTTATTTAGTTTTAATGCAATGCGTGTTGCGGTACTAGCCAAAAAAGTAGTTTTTTCTGGGGGGAAACAATTTCTGAAATAATATTTTGTAAAATACATCTATTATCAACTAATATTGACTTATTTGATTAATTTCTTACAAAAAAATTAACTTACTTGCTTATTCAAATAACATTTCCCTTGTTTCAGCTTACTAGTTCCATGAGCTCTTTAGTTTGGGCCACAACAAAAGAGCATGCTCAACAATTATTGGGAATGTCCAATGAGCAATTTGTTGATGCCCTTAACGAAGCGTTGGTTTGTATTATTTTATGTTTTTATTGAATTATGATAACGGATCTATATTAATAGGGTAAAAGTGTTTACACAGCTTAATTGATTATGATATAAATTTATCATGTAACGTGCGGTACTTAAATAACAAACAGAGGCTCTCGTATAGAGAGAATGTTAATTATTTATGAATATAAATTGGTTCTTTATGTGATTCGAATCATCATTCTAAAATTCAACTATTTACGAATGTTGGAAAATGCTGTTTTTCCCTTACATTTTTTTAACAAATTCCTTCGGCTACAGCAAACTGCGAAGACAGGACATGATTTCTCTAAAATGAACCGTATTCGGAAAAGTGTAAATTTCGAATTTTGAAGATAACTCTAAAACGGATAAAGAGAAAAACACCAAATTTTAAACTTAAGCTTTAATCTATCCTGCGGTGAGCTGATTAAATTTGAGGTATAGTCAAAGCATCTGGGGAATACTTTCTAGGGCGTTGCTTTTTGTTTTTCTTTAAGAAAGTAAATAGTCTTGACAGTGTTTTCTTAGGCAACCCATTTGCAGTATATTTATAAACATATTTTATTTAATAAAAAAAACTTTCATCCGTCAAACAGATGGATGAAGGTCGACCTTACTTGGGATCTTAGACTATAAATATTTTTTCATTTAAATCTCAAAAATTATGAGATGTAACTAGGGTTGCCACCTTTTTGAAAAGTGAATAAAGGTAGTTTGCCAGAATTACGAAAGGGAAATCTCTAAATGAAAAAAAAACCAGGTCTTTCTAAAAAAAAGTCTCATCAGCAAAAAAGGTCCCATTAGCAAAAAAGGTCTCATCAGCAAAAAAAGGTCCCATCCGCAAAAAAAAGACCCCTTATGTTTATATTTTTAATAAACCCCCGTCCTTCGGCCTCGAGCTTCTAAAAAAAGGTCCGCAGCTTGTATTTTTATAAACCAGGTCATTTTTCTGATGACGAGCTTCTAAAAAAAGGTCCTAAGCTTTTAATTTTATATACCCGGTCCTTTTTCTGACGACGAACTTCTAAAAAGACATTTTATGGTTTAAAAAGTCACAAGGACAATTTGTTTGAAAAAAAGACTGTGGCAACCCTAGGTGTAACCCTCTTCTTCCAAATGATATATAATTAGAAATACAGGTTCCAAACATTATAAATACCGGCAAATGCTTAATAAAACAATAATGTCAAAGTAAATATAAATTTTGACATTATTTAATTAAATGCAACTTTGTGTGAACTTTTCTTTAGCAATTACTACTCGATGTTGAATTGAAAACAGAAAATGTTACGTCTAGTGGTATTACATTTAAATATATTGTCATGAGATACATTTTCGACCATTCCGGTCGTACTCTAATCCATTAAGTCTCTCTCTGTCTTATTTTAAGCCTTTTATGACATTTACTTTTCCCTCCGAAATCCCCCTTGATACGCCTATGTTAGTCGAGGTATCCGTCCAGTCTCATACGTAATATCTCTAGTCTAATCGAGATCGTCTAGAATTTTCGAGGCATGCCCAGAGGGTAACATTTGGATATACTATTTTACCGTTGTAAAAGGAATTCAAGGGGAGGATTATTGTTGTTAATATAAATTAGTACATATAGAAATAGGATATAAATTAGCATCTTAGTGTAAATATTTTAAATAAATAAACGTTACAATATTTTTAGTGGAAAGTGTATCAACGGAGTAATATAATTGATCGAACATTAAAAGCATTTGATACTTTGCTGAGAGCTTCCAATATACCGGCAGACTTACATCGTAGATACCCTCCAAAGATTGATTCGATTGATGGTCGAGCTCGTTTTCCTCTCGGATTCGGCCACGCTACTAACTATATTGGAAAAGGAGTAGCACTAGTGGGGTAAGTTTGTAGTTGTAATTTTACTGTAAAACAAAATTATTCCAATATTGATAATAATAAAGACGAATAAATTCACATTTAAAAAAAAATGATATTTGTGGATTTATACTATTCAGCACTTTTTTGAATGAATAAAAAGGTGTGCCATGTGCTGCGAACTTAAGTATAAAATTTTATCCCGACATTTTATGTAGAGTAGGGAGAGTATCTCGTGGCTTTCGACTCCAGTGTGTGATGAGGCGTGATAACAAAGTAGGGATATATGCCGACAAAGTACAATTGGTGCAGCAAGTTATCATCTTGCTGTGTTCTAGTATAATGTATTTCTGTTTTAAATTATTTAAAAATCTCTTTCAGAACTAATAATTGAGTATTGGCAAAATAAAATTTAAAAGTACATTGAAAGGATGTGAAATAAAAGTCAATCGATGGAAATAATGGCTAATGTTAATTTATTTATTTACAGACAAGCCCATTTCAATTACAAATTACACTTTTAAACATTAATTAAAATATCACAAATATTTAACAAACAAAGATATTATACATGTCAGACACACTAGGAACATTTAAATCGACTAAATAAGTTAAAAAACAGAAAATACACAGTAAAATGGCATTAAAACTCAGTATTAAGTAATTGAGTTTTGAATGAGAAAAAGGGAATATTGAACAGCCTGAGATCATTGTGCAAGTTGGCTAATCTAAGCATTCTTGGAATGCAGCTGTTAAAAGCTTTATCTATAAAAAGGTACATAAAATGTTTGGAGTTGCCTAGTTGAACATTTATAATATTAAAAAGCAAAATAAGGTCTCTGTTTTCGCCTAGTTTCCAATGAAGGAATGTTCAAAAAACCAAATTTAAAAGCTATCTGTCCTATAAAGTTGCGCTGAATACTGCCTACTACTATAAGTTATATAGTGTGGATATCAAACGGAAGAGCAATAGGGGTGGGGTCTAACCATCGAACAATAAAGAACTTTAATGGCAGTTGTGTCAGTAAAATCATGGATCAACCTTTTGATAAAACTCAACATTTTCATGGAATTGGTGAACAGCAGAAGATATTGTGTTGATTAAATCTTAAAATGGGATCATGAATAATTCCAAGGTTTTTATATAATTTGATAGTTGGTAGTTGGATCCAAATGTATAAAAAAAATATTTCCTGGTCAATAGTGTTTTTATTTTTTAACTTGGTGCACGTCCTGAGGGGATTTCAACACGTTTTTTAGATATCTATGTCTATTTTTATTCTTATTCTCAAAGCGATAAACTTTAACGTCATTGACATTATCAGTACTTGCATAAGCGGCTTTTGCTATTATCGGTTTGGCTTGATTTACGTCTTCGAAAGCATTGATAAGCTCTGGAAGGTTAAAACTCAGCAGGATGTTGGTCCCCTTTTGGCGTTCATTGAAGTTCATTCATAGTTCCTTCACTGCTTGTCCCGGTATCATTCTTACTATCCTTGAGCTTTCGAATTTCAACTTTCAATTTATTAACTTCGGAGCTGAGGATATCAATTTGTCTTAATAGCATGGGCACACTTGAAGGCTAGGCGGCAATCGTTGCAAAAATAAATCAAAGTTCTTTTTTGTAAAACCACAGCACCAAGCTTAGAAGCTTCCAGGCCAGTACAGTCCTCACTGGGCTGCATTGTGACATGGCGACTGTCGCAAGCAATGAGCTTCTCACTAAGAATGTAACCACACTTATGTGACGGGCCGCCCCTGTGCGGATGTGTTTATAGTACGAAATTCGCGAGTGTGATGACGTAAGACAGTACGAGATGGTTCCGTCTCACCCCGCCGCAGGAACGGCGAGAGGAGATTTGTGGTTCGGAAGAGGAGATAAATTTTTGACTCTCGATCGAGAATTGTCACGTTTCCCGCAGCTTGCTCTGTGTAGATTTTTAACCTGAATTTGTGGTCAAGAGCGACTAGTGTTTTTTTTTGCATTGATAATTGTTAGTGAATGATCCCAGCCGAGTTGCCAAGAGATCGTCAAGACTAAATAAAATTTAGTCTAGTTAGTGTGCCATAGTTTTCATATAGTGCCAAAGTATTAAGGTATTTATGAAATTAACTTTTTGTGTAGAATTAAATCAAGTTACGTCAATCTGACTGTTTAACGGTTACGCGAAACACCCCTCTATAAACTTTATTTGTATTAACTAATTTTTTTGTTACCTATTTCTATATTATTCAACACTTTTGTTTTTTGTAATTTGTTCCACGTTATTTCTATCTTTTGTCTCATTAAAGTTTTATTTTTGACTTACTCGGTGTTTGGATTTACTTAAATTTAAAAGAAACCTAACCCTAAATAAAATTAAGAGACCCAAGTTCACACGCATCAGATCGGTGTCCTTCAACTTGGAACAGTTGCCAGCCGTTTGAAGTTGACTGAAGTCCTTACTATTAAGTCAAATGATTAAAATTTAGCTATGGACCACCTGACTATTAATGATTATTTGAAGTCAACGGCTATTATCAAATAAAAAGTAAGTTTCTGTGGATAGTTTTTGCAGTTTTATTTATTAACAATGATAGATAAATGTAGAGAATTAATCAATCAAAGTATTAGATACATATGTTGGTTAACAAGAAATGTTTAACCAACTTGTAGGAAACTTCCTGGATTATACACTAGTTCAAGGAGAATTTTCGACACTCTATAACCACTTTAAAACTCAAAATAAGAAGATCAATGCAATATATTAAATCTCTACACGTTCTAGAGATTATGACAAAAGGAAGCTGGTAAACCTTTGATGGATATTAGAGCGGTCACGGCAGTAACCGGTTTTTCCAAAATAAGTATATACAGAATAGTCCCTAAAAAAAAAGATTGACATTAAATATGTCTTTCCATTTTATTCACCAAGAAAGCGTATAAGGAAACTTAAAAGTGTCAACGCAAAACATACATTTTATTCAGTTGCAAAAAGAGTGTAAGATAGCTGCGTACTATACTCTCTGTGGTGTCTCTGCACCATTTGAGGACGTCGGAAGCCATGACATATTCTGCTGACTGTATATGTCTTGAATACCAGTTATAACTGCCGAAACTCACCTTTCTTACACTATTTAATTAATATTGCAGAGATGCTGCTCACCGAATACATCCCTTAGCTGGACAAGGTGTCAATTTAGGATTTGGCGATATTTCCTGTTTAAACAAAGTATTAAGCGATGCGATTTATGCAGGTTCTTCATTAGGTTTGTAAAACAAAATCTACGTGTGTTTGTTTTTAAAATAAGTTTATTTTTTTTTTATCATATAATTATGTAACTGATATTTTTATACTATGTTTATATAATTAATATACTTAAAATCAATCGTTTTTAAGTTAAGCCCAGTGAATATTATCTATTTTTAAGATTCCCAATAAATTCTTATTTCTTGAGCTAATATACTCAATTTGTACAGTACATTTTTATATTATTGTTTATAGTATTGTTTAAAATTCACTATAATAAAAAAATAACGGAAACTTTCACATTACTTCAACATGCCCCTAAATTATGGGCATTTGAATAAAATTCAACAAATTAAATTGTAACATGTATAATGTGATATCCCTTGTTATTGCTACCAGTCTTTTATAACAGCTATTTTTTTGAGCGTTTATGAAATGCAAAACGGTTTAAAAATCGTTCTTTTATATTCAACAGGTAATGTCAGCTTTCTTAGAGACTATGAAAGTGAAAGGCAAAAGTACAACGTAGGCATGATGGCAGTTGTTGAGGGAATGTACAGATTGTATAGGACGGATTTCACCCCTATTGTACTTCTAAGAAGTTTAGGGTTGCAAGCAACAGATGTTTTTTATCCCATTAAGGTAGGTGTCATCAATTCTTGATGTAAGTTGTTATAATGATTGAATTTAAAAATCTTTAAAGTCCAATCTATAAATGAAAATATAATATGCATTAGTGAATTATTTAATTAATGATGTTTATTTAAAATGTTAAATAATGAATACAAATTTTATTTCTGCATTAATTTTATAATTATTGTATTTAATTAATAGTCAGATATGTAGTTATTAAAAGAAAACTAGACATTGTGAAGAAATATGGTGTCATTTAGATTAATTTTCCGAAGTGCATACATTTCTATACCAATCTAAACTTATATAGTTTCCACATCCTGCTAGGGAAGGAGACCAAGACGATTTCCTATATACTCAGGTTTGTGGGAATTGCTATGCGACAGACAGATGTGGGAAAATAAAAAAATGCAGAAGAGGTAGCAGTAACAATTAATAAAAATAATAATTTAATAATTATTTATAATAAAATTAAAATCATTATTATACAAGAAGTAGTTTTGAGACTATCGATAATCACAATAATGTTCATCAGTGCCGGATTGTCGTAATTTAAAAGGGGTGTTCACTTTTTCCAATAATTTTATCATTTGTAAGTTTGGTTCAAAACTTTGTACAAAAGCCAATATCGCTGTTTTTTTTTTATTATTTGAGTTTGTTTTAAGTATAGTTATTATTATCAACATCATACTGTTTTCTAGCACTACAACTATTAATAAATGAATATTTTAGTTAGTGTGTAATATTTATTTTATTTTTAATACATTGAAAACCATCTATAAACATTATTAGTTAGTAAACTGACTTTCCTTCATAATTTGAGATTATTTTTAAATATATATCAGGTTATGTAGAAAGCTTGACATTGATTTTTGTGTAAAAAATATTATTATACAAAACTTTACCTACCATTTTTCAGTTTTTATTGTAAATTTAATCATTTTCAAAATTTGTCACACATGTCAAATAAATAATATATTTTTCAAATACCTTTTATTGGCAAATAAAATAACTAAAATGTTTTAAATGTTTATTTTAAAAGATCAGTCCCATCCCATCACAATACATAATGTTACACAGATACAAACTAGAATAAAGATATATAATGAATGCCTGGCAGTTTAACAGATCCCCTTAACCCCCATTTTCAACCAGATTGTTTTCACAATCAATAGGCCTCATCTCCTTACAGAGCTCGATTTTTACTAAAACTTTCATGTTGATATCGCTTTTCATTTTTGATTTATTTTTTTTTTTTAATTTTAACCCCTTAAATCACCCATATTTAATCAGATTTTTTTTATAATTAAATTAATTAAAATTTCAAGTTGGTATCATTTTTCGTTTTTCAGTTTTTAAATATTTTAACCCCCCTTAACTCCCCAATATATTCAGATTTTTTTCAGTATCAATAGGCTTTATTTTCTTATAAAGATTATAAAAATTTCATTCAATTTTTTTTTAATTTCAACCCATCTTAACCCCCTATTTTTAATCAGATTTGTTAAAAATCAATAGACTTTGTCCCCTTATAGAGCTTGATTTTAGCTTAAAATTTTCAAGTTGATATTATTTTTCGTTTTTGACTTATCGTGCAGACAAAAAACATGACATCCGACCGACGGACAAAGTAAACCTATAATACTCTTCACAGAATACTGTATGAAGAGTAGAAAAAAAAAATGTATAAGGTAAAATAAACAGTTTAAAGAGGTCAACAATAATATTCAACTTTTTTTTATCAAAGAATACTAACAGTTTGAAATAACAGCACATAATTGAAAATTTACAGAAATCTGGGAACTGTAATAGTGAGATACACATTGTAAAATGTTATCACACTTCATTCTCCATATGACCCTTTCTTTGTATATTTCACAGCACCTTCCAAGGTATTCTTGCTCTGGCTATTGTCCTACCCTCATTGCTGACTTTTGCATGTCCACGTTTACTAAAAAATAATGTGTTTTAATAAATAACAGACTGAAAAAACAAAATTTTATAATTTTGTCTAAATTGTAAGGCGTTTCCTTGCCTCCAAGAAATTATAACTCTTACAAGTGACACCCTAGGGCTCGGGTGCCAGTTTTATTAATGTGGTTTGCAGCTTCTAGTGGAGGTGACGGAAACACTCTCGTTGATATCAGACTATAAACGTAAGAAGGAAACAATAACGGGCTTTAATCGTTATTGTTACGTAAAAGTATTCGGAAGCTGAAAGAGAAAGGTGAAAAGGTCAACAACAAAAATATTTCAAAGTTCAATGATAATCATAGTGCTGATATTCTCAATGATAATCATAGTGATGATATTCTTAATGATATTCATAACGATTATGATTAATGAGGGCTGTATCTCAGAATAATTTGAAGCAAATCTCTAAACAGGTCGATTTTTGTTGCAACGGACACTTTTATATTCTAAACTGCCACTCTAACCAAAAAAATTGAATAGAAAAAGTACCAAGTATGACCGATCATTGAAAAGGTCATTTTATAAGTAATGTTCATTGGATTAATTTTGATTTTAGCACTCTCTAGATTGATAAAAGTGTGACATTTTATTTAAAAGCTAATTTTAATAGTAACTTAATTTGTAGCATAAATTTGCTACTTTGGTTTTTCAATTATTTAAGTTCATGTTTCATTCAAATATGTTTTGTTATGTTGTGTATTACTAGTCCAAACACACTTTTCAAAAGTGGAAGTGTATGGCGCATTCGCAAAATTAAAGTAACAAATTTTGTCTGAATTTCTTAAAAATAAACGCAAAATATAGTTTAAAAGGAAGAAACGTCAAATTATTACTGATTTTTATATGTTTTAACGATGTTTTAGAATTTTGGTTTCATATCTTACGTGAAAAAATTACCAAAAAATCCAAAGGTTGGAAGTATTTTACAAATAATTTGCCTAAAAAGACGAAAGTACAAAAGCAAATATTGTTCCCAAAGTGTTTTTAAAAAAACAGGATGGAGATTTAGGCCCGATTGTACAATGCGAGTTGAACCTCGGTTTAGCATGAACCTGGTTTTGGGCGTTGTACAATACTAGTTCAGAGCATAAACTGCGTTCATTTATATGTTCAACAAAGCGGTCATGTTTCCGCGCTTAAACCGAGTTCAGACCTATTTTTGAATTTAGTTAGTTGGTAACACACTACAAAAAAATATTTTTTGGGTTGGTCCCGTACACAAACCGTACACCATAGGTAGATAAATAGAAAACAAGACAAATACGAATTACTGAATTCCTAATTAATATAAGTTGTTTCATAAAAATGGATGAAATGTTTGAAGATAAGGATTTTTTAGAATTAGTAAATATCTTACAACAACCAAAAAGGCAACTACAAATATATAGACCAAGGGACAATCATTTTGTTAAGTGGAAAAATACTGAAATTGTACAAAAATTTGTGAATTAAATTCACTTTCAATTTTTATCCAGCACTCATTCTTCTTGCGCGTTACATTCACATCCGTTTTTTTTTTATTTTCTAAAATGTCTTTATATTTTTTCGTTAGTTTCACTAGTAAACCTTCTTCGTCATACATGAAGTTTGGCGTTCTTTTTGATTGCACATTTATATTTTCCATATTATCAGTCACGAGGGAAAACTACGTATAACCTCTAAAAATAATTTTAGAGCAGAAATGCCAAAAATTGCATTTTATACAGGGTGTTAAAAAAAAGTGTCACAAAATAAAACGGGGGGTAGTATGGGCCAAAATATGCAGAAAAGTCTTAATAAACATATGTCCGCAAATGAATGGTTTCAGAGATACGGAGTGTTTTGTATCATTTTTTGATTATCTTTTTTCATTCTCAAAAACTTGCTTTTCTTATCGGAGTCTACCGATGTTTTTTCATAGATACTATTTGCAGTTATTATTTTGTTGTGGGTGAATAATTTTATAAATTTTCGTTATGCCTGTTTACACTAATATTGAATTAGCTGACATGCATTTTATGTACGGTCGTGCAAATGGCAATGCATTGAAATGGAGGGAGGGCACTTTGAACATCTCATTTAACTCTATGTTGTTATTGATTGTTTATAAATATCATTGTTTTTTTATAATAAAAAATTGTTATAAACACAAAATGGTCCGTATCTCCGAAACCGTTAATTTGCGGTCATATATTTATTAAGACTTTTCTGCTTATTTTGGGTCATACTATTCACCATTTCATTTTGTGACACTTTTTTTTTAGCACCCTGTATAATTCCTTTATTTTCTAATAAGAGAAACAAAGATACCCTACGTATTTAGTAAAATTGAAATCTGGCAACCCTGAACAATGAAGTTTATCTAAACCGACGTTGAGCGGGGTATGTACAATTCGTACCAATTTTTAAGGTAAGTTCAACCATTTACCGAGTTCACCTGAACCTAGGTTTTAGCTTGCTTTGTACAATCGGGCCTTAACTGTGTATCTTCTATGCTACTTTTCATTACTTTTCACTACTTTGCCGAACATGTCTATCGGACTAGTCCAAAAATAACTTTTCATGAAGTCTCATCACTAAGTACAACTAGCTTTCAAATGAAGTGTCACACTTTACAATACTTAACAGACGTTTCTCCCGATAGTGGGTTCTAAAATCTAAAGTAGCACAAATATTAGTCATATTGCTGAATTCTTCAGAAAAGTATATTTTTGATGATGTGTCATACTTTTCCAGGTGCGGATGCAAGGGGATAAAAGGGTAATTACCTCCCCCCTTCCCCGAGCTGGTCGAAGATCTACTGAAATTTATTATATTGTATCCTCGAAATGTTACGAGAAAGCAAAAAACAAGATGGCGGTGACGAATAAATTTATTTAAGATAAATCTCCCTACATCCGCTTCTGGTACTTTCTCAATTTAAATTGTATTGGTTAGAGTAATGGGGGGAGCCAAGTGTCACTCTGGAAGTTTGCCTAACCACGTAGGCATTTCAGTGTCTCGTCTCATACCATATAAGAAACAACCTGTTTTTGCGGTTTTATAAAAAAAAAATCTACTCGAGATATTCTGAAAAGTGTACGTTTTTGTAGACGCCAGTGGATGATAAATCGTTACCAAACTCATTTTTGAATTAATTAATTCTTTCAAAAATTCACACTCGTTAATAATATATTTTTGACACGTAAATAAATTAAACTTTTTTTTTTCAGAAAATGATGGTTAACCAGGCATCTTTGTAGAGGAATACTACATCTCAATCAAAATGAACCAAAAGAAAATATAAATATATTTTTCATATTGTTACAAAAATATAGAAATAGTTTTATAATGAGAGTAATTACATGTCAACATTAATTTGAATTGGAATTGATATGAATTTTATTATATTATTTGATGTTATGGTTTTAATGTATTTTATTGCACTATCCCATTTGAAAGAGTTGTATACAAATTCAGATAAAGAATTGCTGAATATACTTTTTATAGCAAAAGTAAAAGTTGGAAAGGCTTTTGCCAGTTCTCCCACTTTATACACATAAATTGACAGGTTTGCGGCGGATCTCACCGAAGTGGACGCGATACATTGGCGTACAAAATTATTATTCTATAGATGTTAATAACAATTTCGAGTAAATGGTTTAATAAATTGTGAACAGCTGTTGAAATTTTGTAAAATTATGATTTGAATATTATAATACATGTTTAATAATTATTTATAGTCCATAAATACATGCGATTGTCCGGTTCCGCCGATAAGAATTTAAAATTACTCATTCTATGAAACGACACTGTCAGGTAAACATTACTGCGAAATTCTCGAAGCCGTCCGACGTGGTTTGACGTTTACCCCCTCTACCCCTCTCTACCTACCAAAAGCCTTTCCAACTTTTACTTTCGCTATACAACGCATTGAAGCGACTGGTCTAAAAACGTAGTGTCGGACCGAAACAAGGTTTTACAACCGAAACCCAATTTCGGCTACCGTAAAGTCGGGTGACTTTGACGCACTGTCAAAATTTAAACCTAAATTCAATTGTTAAATAAAAGCAAATCGCCATAATTTAGTCTTCAGTTATATTTTAAGAATTATTAAGCAAAAATGTCTCAAATGGTCTAATTTTTCAATTAAAAAACAAAAAAGGGGTGTGCAAAGCCACCCGCAGGTAGAGGGTGATTTTGACTCACCCATTATTTTACATTGTTTTCTTTATTACTTGCTGGTTTACAGCCACCCATCACAGTTGATACTAAAACACATTTTATCATTAAAAAAAATATTTTTTAATGCTTACGGTAAAGATAATAACAAAAAATATTACAAACAATAGTATTGTTGGTTGCATACAAATTTTATCACCTCTCAGTTTCGATTATTTTGCAATGAGTTAAATGTTTTATACTGTAAAAAAGCGTAAGCGTCCAAATGTCTTTAAATAAAGTGTTCTGGGTAGTTTTATTTTAAAAATAGGACGTATAATTTTTTGTGAACAAAATTAATTATTTACTGATTTAAGCTAAAGTCACCCGACTTTACGGTACTGTCTTGAAACTTTCTTTTAACGAAATTTATTTTCGCAATTTGCAGTGTTATTATAATCCTAGTTTTATACTACTTTTATTGTAAATCTGATGTGTCCAACACATGACTTTCCTATCTAGTTATAGGCTTTTTCCGGTTATTTTGTGCAACCTATTGCAGCACCTCTACAAATGTTTAGAGGATAAACTAAATATATACATTTTCCACATACATCTACCTCGAAACATTTTTCTATAGATATTAATTGAAAACGAAAATACTGAAAAATTTAAATTTAGCACTTTTCCTACAATTTTTCCATTACGGTACATTTTAAAAAAATCATGTATAAACAAAAATTATAGAGATCGATATCGCAAACAACTTTTAGTTCAACAATTTTCATAAAAAATCAGAATTTTGCACATTTTGTCAAATTTCTCGAATACGGACCATTTCAGCAAATTTTGATATAAAACAAAAATTATAGATAATAATAGAAGTAACTTTTATTTGAACAATTTTCTTCTCCTGACATAACTAACAGATATATTCCATAAAATATAAAAACGGCCTCCCATAAAGTACCCCCCAGATGTTCTGACTTAATCCAAAATCTAATCGTTTCACGTCAGAACAAAATAAAACTTAAGTTTAAAATTTAATGTTTGTTTCTTTATCCGTTTTTGAGTTTTCTTCAAAATTCGAAATTGCACATTTTCTCAAATATCTCGAATACGGTCCATTTTAGAGAAATTATGTATAGCATAAAAATTATAGAGAATTATATTACAAACAACTTTTATTTGAACGATTTTTATAATTTTGTCAAATTTCTCGGAAACGGGCCATTTTAGAAAAATTTTGTATGGAACAAAAATTATAGATAATATTAGAAGTAACTTTTATTTGAATAATTTTCTTCTCCAAACGTAAATAACATATATTCCATAAAATATAAAAATGACCACCTATAAAGTACCCCCCTTTATGTTCCGACTCTGCCCAAAATCTAATCATTTCATTGGACGCTGGAATAAAGCTTAAGTTTAAAATTTGGTGTTTTTCTGTGTATCGGTTCATGAGTTATGGTGGATACAGACACACACATATCATTGCGAAAATAGTCAAAACGGATTCATGGGACGTAAAAATCCGTCGAAAACTCGAGGTCGAAAAAATCATGATTCCTATACTTTCCTTATATCTATACAGATAGGATAGTAAAAATGTTAAGTAAATTACTAAGTAACAACTGTTTCCATGTGGGTAGTGGTTTTTTTTGTAACAAAAATAGTATTATATTAGGTATTAATTACGAATTTACGGAGTTGCCAACAAAGCCATAAAAACCATCAAATATAAAAAATATTTTTTATGAAAAAGAAAACGTTGTCCGAACGCTGCCAAACGTAACACAAAAATAGTAATGTTGAAGAAAATTGAGTTTAAAAATTTTGTTGTTTTTACTTTCATCAAAATGATAGAGCATAAATGGGACTTTGAAGTTTGACGTCGATTATGATTTAGTTTATGTTGACTTAGAAGTGAGGGTAGCCATATGTGAGTCGTACAACCTTCGTACTGAATCTGATAAGCTGTGCCTCTGTTGACGAGACCATAAATTACAGTTTTTTATTAATTACGTTGATGTATTAAAAGTAACACATTTTCATTTATTCATCAACTTTATAAAAATTCAAAATTAGAAAAATAAACAATGTTCTTTTATATTTGGTACATCAATTTTGAAATTTCTAAGGGAATTTCAAATTGTAAGCATATTTTTTATAAAAAATAAGGTCGTCGTAGGTTTTTTTTTTTTGTAATTGTAAAACGGCAAGACTTTTAATACCTTCTAATCATCTTGTATGGAAGAGTTTTGTAGAAAATGCAGTCAAGGTTTTCTCTTTCTACCCAAAATACAGAAATATTAATAAAAAGTTTAAGTTATTATAGACACAAATAAAAAAAAAACGAATGATAAATCAAACACTTAAAATTTAAAGCCTATACAAGTGGCGGCTCTTGGTTAAAGACATTGGGTGTTCTACAAGATGCTGCTCCCTTCCCCAAATTAATATTTTACAGCTTTTATTCACCTACTTTTTATACAATAATTCTGTTCGGGCATTCCAACGACCTGTCAAATAATAGCTGCCGGAGGGCAGGGCTGGTATATCTAAAGAGGTTGCGACATAACCTTCCATCTTTAATTATATTTTTATTCGAAATAGTTGTCGCCAAGCCTGCCAATTTAAGAAAAATGTATTAGGAGCCATATTGTTTGTGATGCCTAATAGACATTTCAATTACGGACCACCCTGTACTTATTTGATAAAGAGTACTGTCAAACCAACCCTTAAAAAGTTTATGCAACGCGCCATGTTATTATCTCAGAGATGGTGTGGAAAATTACCGACCTCATTTCAATTGAAACATGTGAAAATATTTTTTATATTAAATTAAAATTCCTATTTATACCTCTATGTAAAAAATTAACATTTCCGTCCCTGGAAACATTTTCTTTTACCCCGGAACCTTCAAAAATATGTACCTGAACTTCTATAACTACCACTATTGGCAAATATCTGAATTAAATGTAAACGTATTAGGATTTTTATGTATAATTAAATTTGTACAAAATCTTTACAATTTTTCAGATTTGCAGCGTTTAATTTTCAAAAATCCATAACTACTGTTTTTGCTTAAAATTCATCCTTTACACATCAATTGTCTGGAAATAAAACATCTACACGTTCCCTTTTTAACCGACTTCAAAAAAGGAGGAGGTTCTCAATTCGTCGCGATATTTTTTTTTATGTATGTTCAGCGATAATTTTTTAACACGGTGTCCGATTTCAATAATTCTTTTTTTGTTAGAAAGGGGCTACTTCAGGGGTGGTCCCATATAAATTTGGTCAAAATCTAATAATTGGGTCCATGAGAAAATCCTCAAACTCTTTATTTTTTATGTATGTTTAGCGATAATGCTTTACCACCTTGTCCGATTCATATGATTCTTTTTTTGTTAGTAAGGGGGTACCTCAGGGGTGGTCCCATATAAATGTGGTTAAGATGTGTTGATGGCATCTGCACGTTTTTGAAGTCGGTAAGTTCTAATAAATATTTACGTTTGTCGAGTTAATTGTATTTTAATTCAATATAAAGTAATTTTCATAATATTAATGTGTATTTTTTTCGACCTCCCTCATTTTTTTGTGTAAAATTTAATTGCTACTTGAAAGGTATACGCGTTGAATAACTTCGGGCAAATTCGCAGCCATATTTTTCTTATGTGTATTAAGTAGGGGAACTGATACCTATTAAGTAGCGAGTCAAGTCTACCATCAACGGAAGCTGAACGATTTTCATTTAAGAAATTATAAACATTACAATACCTACTTTTATAATAATTAAAAGATAAAACATTTTTTAATCCTTTAGTAGAGGACACGAACTGCTTTCTATTTTTCTACATATACAATATTTACTTAATCGCGCAAATATTATTTAACTCTGGGAGAGTTTAGCAATGATCTGAAAAATGTTAAATAATATAATATGTATTATTGAAATATTTTTAAGACCGAAGTTAAAATAAATTTGAGTGAACTCAAATTACATTTTATGAAGCTAATACAAAAATCAATAAACATAATCTGTCTATCTTCAACTGTACTATTCAGTCTTCTCGGAAAAATCTGTTTGTTTGTCTCCTTAGTAAATTGTTTATTGATTGAAGATTATTCGAGTAGGTATTAGGTAGTAAATAGGTATAATGCGAGAGTTAAAAGTCATTTAATATTTGTGCCTTCATCATGAACAATATTTTACTATTCTTTCCATTAGGTAGTTGTATTTTACATCAATTTTTATTTT